GTGCAGGTACTCAAAGTCCACACTGCCTTTGTAAAAGGCACTGCAATAACACACAGTGTTAGGTAGGCTACGTTTTCCAGATCAGCAACAAGTGCAGATGCAGCTGACGCACCTGAAAACAACATACAACGCTCTACCGAAGAGTTACACCCAAGCGTTGGTTGATCTCCTTCCGAAAGAGCAGCTGCATCTCTGCCACCTCCTGGCGGCTCAGTGCCTTGTCACAGGACTGGAAGGTCAATCTGTAGCAGAGGCTCTTTCTTCCGGTCTCTGGCTGTTGGAAACTGTCAATTAACTGGAGGGATATGACCATTTCACCTGACACCTGCCTAGCAATGGTGTGAAAAGCAACTTCATCAAATTGCTCCCCATCAGGAACCCAAAAGCTGACATCATGCACGTAGGAAGGTGGATAGAGAGAAAAACTCTTGAAAAGCCTTAACTCTCCTTTGGGAAACTGATGGAGGAACCGTGTGTCTGATGTCCAGAGCATTCGCCAGTCAGGTATTCCACAGATCAGCATGGCTAGGAGGTCAAGATTCAGTGAAGCAAAGACAACCACCAGTTTACTGCTTACTAGTTCATAATAAGCCGTCCTTATAATTCCCACACAGGAGCCCTTCTCACAGAAGCCTGAAGTATCTGTCTTCATACAGATGAAGTACTGAATTTTACTAAGATGAGATTCAAATGCAGCAAAGTCATTTAGCTCAGCTGTTTCAAAGCTCGTTGCTTCCTGCAGACTGATACTCAGTTTAAAGCTGGAAACAGCCTGGTGAAGAGAATATATGCTGCTTTTAATGTTATTCACCAACATCTGGATACAGCTGTTCTCTGTACCCCTGTTAACTGCACATACAAAAACCACCTCATGGAAAACAGGCATGGAGTAAGGACTGATAAGACACTTCCTGAAAACTGGGCCTGAAAGAACATAAAGTGTCCCCGGGAGAAAGTCTCCTCTTTGTGTTATTGCACGAGCATAAGGTAGAAGTGAAGGTCTAAGATAATACTGGTTTGGCATGTGGCATCCCTCTTGCACATTCACCCAGCCATTGTTATCTGTGTCCCTGCAAAAATCAACATGTGAAAATTTGGTTTTTGCCAGTCCATTAGACATTTCTTCAGTGCTTGGAGTCTCCTCTGGGCTCAGAGCAATCCAAAAGGTATTTGAGTGACAAACATCATTGAGGTGACCTTCGTGGAGCAGGGAAAGGCAGCAGTCAGTGTTCTGTAATGGAAAGGCTTGCCTGAGCTCTGCAGTGAGCTTCTCCTTTACTGTCCGTACCGGATGATTTGAATTTAGTTCTAGGAAACCCCTGTGAAAAATAAAAGTGCAAATTACAGACAGCACCAAACAGATTCCCTTTCAGTGCCTTCCTGTGATCATAATTTGAATGCAGCAATTTACCCCCAAAAATCTCAGATATTAAGCCGGTTTCTAGTAACTAACTTAAACAGCCAAGTCTTTCATAAAAGGTGTTGAACGACTAACACATTTTCAGGACAGTGGTGTTTGCCTCCAGGTTACACTCAAGAATTAACTGCACTTTTGCTGGTAAAAAGGAACGGAACTTAACAGTCAGCATCGCCATTTTCACTCATCACAGTCATTACTACAACACAGAAATTAATCAAATTATACTAGCCCTGGATATTCTCCAAGGTATGCAGCAGTTCACCAAAGTTAGCATTTTTTATCCTAGCTAGCCTTGGTACTGTGATATTAGCAGACATCAAGTCAGCTCCTGAATTTCTTCCACGCTACATTAAAACAGATTAAAGTTTTCATCTTTATTTGTGTGTTCAGGTATATAGCAGCTTGGTCTCAACCATAAAAATAAGTCTACAGAACAAAAAAAAAAAAAAAACACACCAAAAAAACCCCTTTAAGTAGGCCATAACCAAAAGCCAACATGAAGGAGACTTTAAGAAGAAATGGAACAGGAAATTCTGTAAAGATAAAAGGAGTGAAAGTGAAGGAATTCCATTTTATCCGACATCTACGCTGGTCATTCCCACTGAGAGCAGAAGTGTGTGTTATTACCAAACAGAAACCGATTATAAAACTTACCTATTAATTTTATCCACAAGTACTTGTGGTACTTGAAAAGAAACTTTCTGGCTTTCCAGTTCTATCTCGCAGATCATCGGTTTGAAATACAGAAGTGGCATGCTTCGTGTGAAAATGTGGTTCAGAGCACCCTCTACACAGAAAGATTTATCTTGACTCCTGACAAATGCACAAAAGCAGAGCAAAGTCATTGATTGTTTCCTGTATTTAACGTGTCATGAGGAAGCATTACACAGATAACCCCGTGTAACACTATCACACCTCTTGGAGAATCCCAGGTCTTGTTACAAGGTAACAAAAATGCAACACTACCATATTTTTACTGGGCAGATGGTCCAACATTAGAACAAGTTGCACAAAAAAGGTTGTGCAGTCCATCTATGGAGACTGAAGGTGGCTCTAAGCGACTTGCTCTAGCTGGCTCTGCTTTGAGCTGTGGGGTAGGACTAGATGATTGCTGGAGGTGCCTGCCAGTATCAACCATGCTGTGATTCTGTGACTTTCTGCCAAGCAGATACGCATTTGTTCTGAAATGGACCATTTTGACCTTTAAAATCCTAAAGTAATCCTAATTTTTAGAGGGTCCTTTGGCAAGAAGCTTGCATTTTTATCTTGGCTATTCTGCTTAGAGACAAAAAAACGGAGGTATTTTAAGGAAAATTAAAGGGAGTTCCTCTCTCCAACAAACAAGATACTAGAAGAACATACTGGCGCTAGGCATTATAAGAGCACGAGAATCAACTTTTCAGTTTTGCCACGGTGGTTACCTGTAGCCTGTACACTTATATCCATGGATAGTCTCTGCTCTAAAAGGATGAACATTACTCAAGATAAATCCAGCTCGTGCTGCCATAGCCACTATTTGCCAGCTGTTGTGCCATTCTCTCCTTGGCTGATCAGCAGGTGTCCCACCCTGTCCGTTGCAAAGAGCCACGTGGACCTCTCCCTCCTCTGTCAGCACTTCTGCAGAGCTGCAAGGAAAGCCAGGCAATAAGAAAAATCCCACTAGCACAGCCAAAAATTTTATAGTGCCAGAAAAACACCTGTAACACAGCTAGAAATCTGTATCACAGCAGTCAATTAGCATAGAACTACTTCTGGTTTACTTACCTATGGAAAAAGTGGGCAAGAAGCTCCCTATTCTTCACTACCCCAGCCTTTCTCCCACAGTGAGGGAAGTTGAAATAAATACAATCAAATTCTCTTTTTTCTGGTAAAAAACAGTCCTTCAGCTTGGTGCAGTCCACAGAAAACACAACTTCAGCTCCTTCAAAAATACACGGAAAAGAGTCTGATGTTTATAATTACAGAAAATTTTACAGAAAGGTAGCAAAGTCCTCTGGCCCATTTTTAAGCATGCCAGACCGCCTGCCAGGATCTTCCCACCCGTGTGCATTAGGAAAACGAGACAGCCCAGGCTCCCTTTGCTCTCTTGCAGAGACTTCTGCTCACTGGCTACTTGTTGCAGTACTATTTCAGCCTGATTAGATTTTAGGGTATTCGATTTAGCCCATTGGACAACTCCAATGCCTCGCGGCAAAAGCGGTCTTATGAGATGCCTGGAGGGGCGAAGGGCGATAACGGGACTGGACGGTTCCCACGGAGGCACCGCAGCGCCAGGTCCCTGATTGAAAGATGGCATTGCCACGCTACAGCCCTGCTTCGACCGATACGAGGAGAGCGATTACAGCTAACGGCTGAGTACTACCGACACCGTTTCCCTCTCCGTCCCGGCCTCCTACGTGGCTCTGCCCGAGGGCCCCCGCTACCTCCCTCCCTCCCTCCCCACCGGCCGGCCGAGCGCCACCAGCGCCGACCCACCGCTCTCCCGCAGCCGCCGGATGTTTTCCGCGGCTCGCCCCCACCCGGACACCTGCTCTTCGTTCTCGTAGCAAGTAGCAACGACGTGAGTGCCCGCAGCCCCGCAGACAGAG